TCTCGTGAAGTATTTGGATGTTTGAACCATGTGTATTGGTTCAGGCACAACTTTTAGAAGGATGATATGCCCTTTGCCAGGTTACTCATAAAAATTCTTGATCTTGAGTATTGCTACAATGGCCTGTTTTCAGTCTGGAATTCAGGATATAAACTATTTCTGACTTTAATTCAGAGGTGTAGCATCAGTCAGCAGAGATACTTTTTATATGAGAGGTAACAACTGTTCTTTTACTAACAGCACAGAAAATAGTATCTGGCCAGTAAGAGACCAGCTGAACATCTCTTAGTATTACCATACTATGGGGTTTTTCTCTTTCCTACTCAGGCCTCACACCCATCTATTTAAGACAATTAAAACTCCCTGTAACTTCAGTGAGATTTGAGCCATGAGTTTCTCAGTGATATGAGAAGGGTGGGTGGTAGCAACAAGAACTGTATAGAGGAAGGAGGACCTGGGCACAATATGCCTTCCTCCATCCCACGAATATTTGTGATCTAGATTGGATTCTTCTGAATGGAAGAGTGAGAAGATTGCAACTGAGAGCCTGGAACTCTGGTGTGTGGGCTGGGTGGAACCCAAAACCTCTTCACCAAATGGTTTATTGTGTGTACATTCTGCAGTGGAAAATCATTCCACCAGAGCATTCCAACTACCCAGGTGGAAGATTTAGGTTGTAATTCAGGGCAAGATGCATTGTATTACATATATATATGTATATATAGTATTCTGTGTTTATACATACGATGTGTATCAGGCCAGCAGGAGCTATACATGCTCAACACCTTTCAAGGCTCAGTCTGTAAGAGTATCTACACTACAGAGTGCAGTGTGTTACCTGGACTAGCTGAGTTCCTGAAAGGAATTGTGAGAAGGTAGCACTGAGCTCACTGCAGGCACATTTTTCCTGCTTCTTAAGCAAGTTTTGCATTGTGGGGAGTTCTGCACTGTCCTAACTAGGCTGCTTCCAGAATCTGAAATAGCCAGTTCAAAGATACAGGTACCTTTGCACGCTGCAGTCACGCTGCAGTCTGCCATGCAGACACAGCTGTTCAGGTGATGTTCTCAGACCACTGTTGTAATACCTGGTCTGGTCCATCTCTGTGTTTAGTCCAGCTTTGTATATATGTACAACTTGGCATTTTGTTGTTATTTAAATATCTAAAGAACAATGAAAAGTGCATCAGAAAAATGATTTGAATTTGATACAGAAACATCACAGTACCAAAGGAGCTTAAACTTAAATGTGTTACTAATCATGAATGCTCTTGGAAGCCAGTGTGTTTAGTTGGGGCATCAACTAACTAAAAATACTGGAGCCAGATGGGCTGCTCCATGCGTCAGTGTGCAGCCTTATCTGCTGAGAAATCAAACCAGCAAGTGCAATATGGAAACTCTTTCTGACTCCTGCAGTTGTGCCTTTTTGCTTCTGATGTAAGCTTCCCCTATCTTAGATTTACATATTCCAGAGTGTACTCAATAATTTAGCTCTTTAACTAGACTCTGAATGCTTTGATTTGTAATCATTTCATGTAGCAGTGATGCAATCTACAATAAATGTTCCATTTGTAAGGGCTCCATCCATAGTAGCACCTTAAAGGAAAGCCAGCTGCAGCTAAATGCTTCAAGAACTTGTCCATTAAGCTTATTTTCATGACAGGAGGCAGGAGGTCTGAAGTCCACTCTAACCCAGAGCTAATCCAGCTCTAAGTATGACTGAATTCTCTCCTTGACTCTATAAAGCACTTCTCTCCTGATGATGCCTGAGGTGGAAGGGAAGGAGTTCAAGCTCAGCAGGATGTGATGTCCTTTTGGGTCTCACTAGAGTCCCAGTGAATGTGAACCTAGTACTTTTGGTTACATATGTGTGATGATAAGAATCTAATTCAGATAATAAAATACTTTTCAGAGTTGCAAAAGGGAGGAGTTTCTCATTCTATACAAGACACAAGGTCTGGATTGTGCCAGTGCTAGAAAAATGTTTAAAACAAAAAAAGGTCAGCAGTGAATCTGTGATAGAAGCTGGTAGATTGAAGCACTGGTGAAAAGTAGAAGATGCTTCATAATATATGTCTGACAACTACTTAAGATTCATGGTGGCTGGTGCCAGGGAGACAGGATACAAACACTGCATCTCTTTGTGTCAGCAAGTCCAGTGTCACTATGGATGCAGGAGACATGAATTCCAAGGGGAGAGTGGTGCCAACTTTTCTCAAAGGGATCCCTTCAACAGCTCCTCCACTTAGGTAGTTATGAAGTTCAGTTTCCAATGAAAGTTGCTGCCTCCTGGCATTACCTCTGCTTCATTAAATAAGGAGGCAGTTATTTGGGCAGTTATACTCTACAAAGCTACACTCTCCCTCTTGCAGAAAGGCAGGAGGAAGAGCCCAAAGTCACTCTGAGTAGCACTACTCATTTCTGAAATGAGCTTGAGAACAGAGGAGAAACCTACATGACAGAATATAATGAGTAGTTACAGTCATTCGAATGGGTGGCTAATGGCCAGAGCTCTATCACCTTCCATTAAAGAATAACCAGAGAAACCAGAGAAGTGAAATGCCAGCTTATCCTGGAGTGCTGCACAAAAGACATTGTATGCCAGACACATAGGAATGGAAAGCTAGCATAAGATGTGCAAGAATGCTTGAGATTCCTTTTCAAATCAGGCATGAACATTACTACTGAAGATAGGACACCAGATACGATATGCATAATCACTGCAGCAAGCAGAATGCAAATAACCCCTGAAATCACAGGAGATTCCTGGCCTCTTTTGCCTGACATCAGTGCAACTTTATCTGAATTATGGATTCAATTAGGGAAAAAATAGACCTTAGTAGGACTTTCATTTCTAATGAGGTGCTGCCCAGCCAGCAATTTAACTTACATATTAAATTCATTTAATACGTAGCAGATAGACTATAGATGTATTCTAGGAGCATGTAGGAGAAGATAATGGATCACAATTCAGGAAAGGCTCATTCTGGTAATTTTCTGCATTTATCAGTTTAAACACACAGTACAAAATTCTACCTGAAGACTGTGAACAGCAAGAACTCCACTTGATAAGGATTTGAGAGTTTACAGTTTATTCTTCCTTACTAGGTCATTGGAGAATGTTTTAAAATCTTGATAGGTGTCACAACATTTGCAGTCCCATAAACAGAAAACAGCCAAACAGTGCAGTGCCAAAGAGCACTTGAAGCAGAGCCAGTCACTCTGAAGCATTTGTTTCTGTACTAAATACTGTACAGAGATATTTAAAACAGAAAGAAGTTCCTGACCCCAGATGCCAGTCACATACTGAGTGGGACTGCTGTGATTTAACTTAAGATGTCAAAAAAGTGAGACTCTAGTGTGAGCTATTTGCTTGTGCTCCCTCAGTAATCAGTGGAGAGAGATGGGCATCTCCAGGGGAAACTTCTCATTCTGGGTAACAGGATGAATCACCCTCTGGGACAGCACGTTGCCAACAGCTGTGATTCCCTTCTCAACTGAAGCTTAGATTAGATGGAAAACCAGACCAGATTTGGTGCACACTGGCACACTAGTCCTTCTTTTGATCTGAAGGCAGAAGAGGGGTTTATGTTCCCAGCATCCTACCACTTAATCTAATGCTACTAGTTAGTCAAGTAAAGCATACTACCTTAAAAACCTGCTTGCCTATGAATTAGACCATCATAGATAAAACTGTACCATCAACTAGATGCCAGAATGTTAGATCTGAAGTTGAATGGGATGAATCTCATTCCAGGACACAAGCAGAATGTGTCTGAGCAACCTAGTCTAGTGGAAGGTGTCACTGCCCATGGCAGGGGTGTGGAACTAGTTGGGGTTTTAAGATCCCTTCCAACCCAACCCTTTCTAGGATTCTATACTAAGAGTGGCATCATGACATTAGATGAGTTATGCACTTGAAATGGTTTTTCCTCATCACTGATCAGAAAAGGATTCTGGATACCTAGACCAGATACTGATATGGCCATCTTATGTACAGATGTACGTGACTGTCAGGACAGATGAATCCAGCTGGTGGGTTGGTGTCATTTATTCTCCAGTAAGTGCAATGAACACACTCCAATCCCAGCTGAACAGCAAACTGCTTGTGCACTCACCACTGGGTACTGCTCATAGGTTTTGGTCAGGGAACAGCTGTCTGTTTTCCTCAGACAATGAAACTCTCTGGAGAAAGTCAAATAAACCCTTTCTATGATGCTGCATGAATACTCTTTTATAAGTGGAAATGAGGGGGTACCACTAAGACAGACATTTAGGGGAAAGCTCCATTCAAATCTACCAGCCATTAGGCCATGTCGGGAATGCTGTAACAGCCTCGTGAAAGATCCTGCTTAGTCTCTTTCATACAGTGGCTCTTAATAATGAGCGTATAATAAATGTACAGTCTGGAGAAATTTACTATACAGTATCCCATTGGATTTATATAGTCATAAACTCCTACAGCACTGCTTCTATGATTTACAACAGTCTCTACTAATTATGAAGCTATGCCTGGATTTGAGATGTAAAAGGCAAATGTTACCAAACTAGTTGTATAGTGATACTATACAAATGCACATTTGCCACAGCAATTTTAAACTGCTTGTTAACAGAGAAGTAATGCAAATAACCATGTATTTCAGTCTGCTCTTAGGGAAAGCACCAAAAGCAGAAACCTAAGAAATTTGTGGGATGGGGTTTTGTTGCGATGAAGTTTAGAGATAAGGGAGGGAGTTGGGAGAGGATAGTCCATAGACCCCACCAATGAAACTTTTGCTGCCTTCTGCTCAGATTGTAGGGCACTGGGCATGCGAGCTTGCCTGATCCCTTCCCAAATCTATACTTGCTGATTTCCTAAACCACCTGTAGGACAAGCCTCTCATGGCCTAAATGGACACAGAAGGATTCACAGACATTTTCCAACACAGACATTTAAAGTTGCTGTTTCTCAGCATCTTAAACAACTATTTCATCAAGGACTATATGACATTAATAGGAATTACCTGGGCATCGTGGGCAGCACAGCTGTGGTACGTGCACAGGGGAAGGACAGTGTAGACTTGGGCATCTTATTCTGCTGCACAGTACATTTCCATTCTGCAGGTGAACACAATACAATACTTTTATGAAACAACCTACCTTATAAATTTCTGTGTTCTCTATTCCACATCCAAATATTCTTTATTTAAATGCATTTCTACAACATTCTGATTTCACTCACACCAGGTTTCACTGCCTCTGAATTCATGCTGGCAGTCAGAATGCAGCAGAAATCCATACAAACCTTAAAATCAGAGGAAGTGCCTAAAACTGGATTGCAACAATCATCATTTCTGTTTTTCTTTTGAGCAGATTGTGCTTAGGAATTGCATTTTCAAAACTGAGACCCAGATAATGAATGGTCGGTCTCTGAGTTATCCCCTGCTGAGGGTTAGTTCAAGACCACAAGAGACAATAGCATCTGTAATTGTTCCTGAAAACTGTGGAGTGTCTTTTGTTTTCATTTTATGGGTTCCCCAGCAGACAAAAAACACCAGTTGGGAAGTAGCCATTTTTCTAAGAAACACGAGCAAGTCTTGGGAATAGTGTTCATTATTCATGTCATTAACATCATATTCTGTTTGGCCACATCAAAGTTTGATCTATAATTAAAACACAGGGAATTTTCTTTCTCCAGTGTCTGTAACAAGCAAAGACTATCCATTTCAAATTCCCATTTCCCATCTATAATTCATCCTTTTAATTTAGCTCTGAGTTGCTCATGTTTATAGCAAGAAGGATCTTTCAGCATGAACACTGATACTATGCTATGACTGCAGTTTTAGGTGGTGTCAGGAATAAACCCACTTCATTTTCCTATGCCTTCTGGAGCACTGAAATGTTTCCAGCAGTGGTGCAGACTTCCTTAGATGGTGTATGTATGGGCTTTCCTCTCTTTCTTCTCTTTCAAAATAATCCATTGACTCCGAAGTCTCTGCAGACCACAGGCTGTAATCATAGATCATTACTACCCACAAACTACATTTGTGCATCTGCTTTGGAAAGAGACACCAAAAATGATATCACCATCTGTTTCCAATGCTGATTGAAATTAAATATACTGATTTTACAGAGGAGGAACAATTTTAGGCTGTAGATTCTGTGTGGCATAGAGACTGTCACTGGTGTGCACAGCCCACAGCGCGGTGTACCATCACCTAAGAGCCTGTAAAGCACTGCTGTGGAAGACAGGCTGGAACTGTGCTGGCCTGGCTCCGTGTTGCTTACTTGTCCTGCTCCATGGCCTCACTCTCTTCTTCCTGACTAGTCCTGTGAAATCTCATGAGGTGAACATTTACTGCCTGTGCATGATCAGCTGTGATAGTTCTTCAGGACTGATTCACTCCTCAGTGCTGCCTGCAGTGCTCCGCTGGTTGCAGCAGGACACAACTATTCCAATGGATCTTGTGCTTCCTAAGACTGGTCTTAGACTCACAGTGATACATGGGAGATCAAACCCTACTAAGTAGGGCTTAAGCACCTAGAGCAGGACTTAAGCTCTTGTAGGCCTCTATGAGTCAGGGCCATGATGAGCATTTCTGCAGCAGATACTCCGAGTAACAATGAGTTCCTCTTCTCAGCCTGTGGTGTCAGTACTAACTGTAGAGAGCATTCACTTTGACCCTTGAAGTCTGCAGATCTGACTATGAAGACAAGCAACAAGCTGCTGCTGTATTTCAGGGAGTGAAATAATGATGTGACAAATTGTGAGTGTTCCAATATACCTGACAGTAACAGCCAACAGTCTCCACTGTACACTGGTGGGGAGGAGGGGTTGTAAAAGAAAGGGGGAGCAGGGTGAGAACACTGACCTATGTTTAGTTTTGTTCTGGTTTAAGTATGTAAATTATAACTTGTAAAAATACAATGCTACATACACACAACACCAGGAAGACTTTTTTTTTTAATCCCAAACTGAATAATTTGGCCTCTGTTCAGTTAATTGTCTTGCCTTTTTCTTCAACATTAGACATGTGTGTGTTGGGGGGATGGACAGTCACATCCAGGCTGTTGTTTAGAGATGGAGCAGAGATCTCCGTCTGTTGCCTGGCTCATAAGACTTGTTTTGTGCAGAGATCATATGGATCATGATGTTTGAGGCCAGCAAAGAAATTTTGGTGTCACTGGTGACAAGGACCCCTGGGGGTGTGTTTTTTATGCTGTAATACTAGGTTTAAGGTCTGTGCTTGTGCTATGTCATGACACATTTTCTAATGCTTTATCTAGACTTAATTTGTTGAAATTATAAATTATTGAGAGTTTCCTGATGATCTGGAACTTTCACTGTAGGTCAGTGTTCTGAGGGCACTTCTTCTGGCCAGGACAAAGCTTAAATGGATGGCTGGATGCTGCAGTTGTTATTTGGAGTCTTCTTTGCAGGCAACAAGAATCACATCCCAGAGATCCCTCAGAGCATCCTCACTGCTGAAATAACCCCAAGTTACATTTTGCACCCTCATAATGCAGCAAAGGTAAAACAGAACAAACAAGGAAGTAGAGTACAGAACCACTTCTGAGCTGCATGTACTGGTCATTACTACAGTTCCTTCTTTCTTAACAGTGTTGCCCTGAACTGTCACTCTGGTCTTTCATGCCATGAAAGAAATCAAATACACTCCACTTGTTGGAGCCTCACAGTGTGTGGGGTATGCTTGTGCTGTACAGGAGCATACCGTGCACTTTCCCATCCCTCCAGACTAACAGCTTCCTAAAACTCATTGAGCAATGATTTGTATCCAGATCTCTAGGGTTTCCAGTTAATTTCATACCCACCCAAGACACAGCCTTCCAGCAATTTAATATGTTTTACCACACACGGATTCTGAGGGAGTTTTCCACTTACACATCAGCAAAAGTGAGTGGAAACTCCTTTTTGCTAAAATCAAGGACTTAATTTTCTTCCTACTAGATTGCTTTTCTTTTACTGCCTTTTCTCTGCTGCACAGATCTGAGATGCAGCCAAGCCTGTGGGGCTACTGTTGGTGCATCTCTGCACTACACTGTAGTAGCAGATCCCTCGGAGCAAATGCTGCACGAGAGCCCAATATTTTACACTTGCAGGGGAGAAATAGCCAAGAAAACTTTATTCTGCATTAAAACTCAGCATCTGGAGTGTCTCATGTGTTACTGATTAAGAGCCCCTTATTTAGTCATTTTAAAGTACTCCAAGGACATACTCTGACCTCATTTTCCTGCCCCCCCCCAGCTGTATAAGCCATACTTAGGGGATTTATGGCTGCTGTGTCTTCATATCACGCACCACCTGATGATACCTAAGGACCTGTCCCTTCATGTCCTATTCAGTTCTCTCTGCTTCCCAAACCTTTTTCTCATTTTTCATCATCTAATTCTTCTTTCATAGATTTCTACAAGCAGTGTTACACAGTCCTGTTCCTTTAGCACATTAGGGCAGCAGATGCTTTGACTGTAGAAATGCCTCTGAAGTTGTGGGCATTGTCCATACATCCAAACAACTCCAAATTCAGGTACAGAATAATCATCCACATTGATGGAACTGCTGTTTCCTGCAGGGTGACCCACTAGTGCAAACCTGTGCATACAACAGGAAGGATTCTGGTCAATTAAGCAAGTAGAAGTGTTTGTAGGATGAATAACTCAGCAATCCTACCTCTGAGCATAGACAATTTACGCAGTAGACAAGGCCATAGGGTTCTAAGTAAGGATGCCATCTCTCTCCAACACGATACTTCTTATCTTGAAACACGCAGTATGTATCTGAGTCTGTAAAGCAGAAAAGAATTGAAAGAGCTGTGAATGCCTGTCCTCATTCCGTGCTTACCAAGTGTTCCTAGGTTTTATGTACACTACTTTTTCTTTCCCTGGAGTATCACATAATGGAAATATCCTTGATTTCATGTACTGTTGTCTCTAACTTCCTAACATAAATGCCATGGTCTCCCATCTTTCCAAAACTGCAGCTCCTGAAATAGCTGACACAATGGCTGTCATACAGGATGAGTTTATCCTTTCACCTGCAAAAACACTGGCTAAGATCCCAGCAAAACTAAAGTGCTTGATTGCTCAGATGGGTTTGTAGGAAACAAAACCTTTTTACTGCAAAAGCAAAGCAATTGGCTCAACTCAGGAAAATCCCAGGTTGTACAGCTGAGAGACTTCAAACAAGGGGTCTGCAAAAGGAAGGTAAATGCACTGTATTTATACTGCATGTTCAGTGTCTCCCTATTTTAACAACCTAATAAAAAAGAGGTTTATACTAGTGTTTCGGAACAACTTGTGCTAACTTACATATGCTTCAGCATTCACAGTGTTTTAAGATCTTTTTGTACATTAAGCATTTCTAATCATGTGGGTGCAGTTCTGCAGGTATCCATCTACCTATCAGACATTACTGCCCTATCTCTCTCTGTCACATTACAGCCTCACATTGAAAACTCAAATCACTTCAATAAAAGGATGTTCCTCATGTGTTTTCATGAGAGAATTCCTTCCTGTTATCTTAATGATGTCCAAATTCAGCTTAATTCATTACCCTCAGTATAGATGATACTTCAGGGTATCAAACAAAATACCTCTCTTCCAAGTGATAATCCAAGCAAGGGACATTCTTCACATTTACTGGGCTAAAAGAAGGTAGCAAGAGGCAGGGATTATTAGTAGCAACTGTGAAGTGGTCTGCTTTCACTTCACACTAAAGCATGACAAATGAAAGGCAGGATCTGGAAAAGCAGATGAATGGAGTTTGGTAGTTTCTCAACTGTGCTTTCTATGACCAGGGATACCTGCACATTGTTTGCTTGGGAGCATGTTCAGCAGAAAAGGTGGCCTTTTTGGAACTCTTTTCCTTTTTTAATGCACCTACTTCCTTAGAAGCAGAAGTTTCTGATACTGAGGCTGAAAACTCTTTTTCAAGGGTAAACAATGTCTTTGGTAAGAAGGCGGCCAAAACCCAGCCTGCAGGTGAGGAGAGCAGTCCAGAGAGCTAGTAACAGGGCTGCAGCAATCTTACTTGAGTAGTTATTCCTCCTTGTCATGCTTTCTGAAATGTGTTAACATCTCCCACGGATGACAGGCTTTGTAGAAATACTCCCTTTGTTTTGTTTGTATTCTTTTCAGTTATCCTCGTCAAGTTTTTGACAGTGCTTAGACTCTTAATTTTCTCAAAGGATGTATCTAATCCAGTTCATATGAGGTTGTTTTTGGAACACACTGTAACAGTCTTGGACGAGCTTTACGCTAGCTGAAACCTTCAGCACAATAGTCTTACACATGGGACAGAATCCAGATAATCTGTCAGATGTTTACAGAGATCACCAAAGTGGAATTAAGCACTCTCTGGATTCAGGATATTTGAAATAAAACAGATTCTCCAATTGATGTGTTATGTTCTTTATGATGCAATGAAACCTGTACAACTTCAGGAAGAAGTGCCTCAAACGTGGGGGTGACCTGACTCTACTAAATGCAGGATTAGGAGGAAGAATGTTAGAAGGTTTTGAACATAGTACCCCAGTTTGAAGACCTTTTCTGTCAAATAAAAGGAAAATGACAAATGTGGATGAAGGTGACAGCTTTGTTTGAAGTTTACTTACGTTTTACTTGTTCTAGTTTACTTCCATCTATGAAAAGGAGACAGAGCACACCACAAAAGATAAAATGAAAATCCTTCAATATCCACTTTTTTCTCATCTTTATCGACAAAAGGAAAAGAAAGAACCTCCAAAGCAGAGAACGTTGAGCTGTTGGGAAGAAAAGATTAAATTAATGAAACCAAAATCCTCTAAGATACTTGAATTCCCTGACATAATTTCATCCAGTACACACAAATCCTAAACTGTACCACGGATCTTCATTTCATGGAAGCAGCTTTGGCTTCAGATAATTTCAATATTGGAAAAGAGGCTATATCCCCATCCATGAAGGTTGAAATTGGGTATTACGTCTAATAAAATCCTTATTTTATTCCAAAGCAGAGAAATCTGGCTTTGGAATTCTTCAAGACCTCTTTCATAGGAAGCCAGGTGGGGAGATGTTCTTGTGAAGCAGCTCTTTTGGATCTAACTGAGGAAATGCAGGTGTCAACTGTAACATGTTGGCTTCAGCATAACATGAACCTTGGCCATTTCTGGTGCGCTGGCCCCTCACTGTGGCACTCCCTGCTTAGGGCAACATGTTGGCCATGCTCTCAGCAACCGGAGCTCTCCTGCCACATCTCACAGGCTTCCACCACTATTCACCTCCTCTGTTTACCCCTTCCCAACCACTATTGTTCTGGGATTGTGTATAATTGGTTTTCCCTTCTGTGACCTTGATATCTGAAAGTAGAATGGGGGAATGACGTGTAATCTTCATTCCTGTAGATCTTTGATGTCAAAACCTGGCATATGGTCAAAGCTCAATGTGTTCTTCTCTGTGTGGTGCAGAGGTGGTATCATACTTGCTGTATGCACAGTTCCGCTTGTCTTTTTCTGCCTTTAAAATTTGGATTATTTATAATGAGGAAAAGGCATAAAATAATGAACTAAAGTAGAATTCATTTATTTCTGACAGCCAACCTAAGGTTCTGAACTGAGAAAAATGGTGATGCTTTACTGTTCATCAGAATTCACTGCAAAAAAAATTCTCTTCCCAGAGTCCACCTGTCTATAATTATAGTATCAGAAAGATTGGGGGTTGATCTGCAGAAGTTTGATGTGGATTCACAAGTAGCTTTACAAAAGTTCAAAAAAAAAAATTAAAATAATTCACTATTGGAAAAATAAACCGTCTGCTTTGTGAAGTCATTTGACTTCTTCAGATTTCATTAAGTAACAGAAGTGTGAGTATGTTTCATCTCACAGATAACCAAAGCAGAAATGATAATTTATACATGTATATTCAAAATCAAGTGGTGGATAACTTAGAGAAATCACCAGTAAGTTAACGGCACCTAAAAAGAAACTCTTCCTACTGAGGCTGTTGAGATCCAGAATCCTGCAGCGAAGGGTGGCTGGTCTGATTTTATCAGAGTGGTTTTATTGCCTTTCCTGTTCAAGGCTTGCATTACTCTACCTTCCCAAACCACAGCCAGAATGGGCATCCTCCTTAACTAACCAAATCTATGCAGCTACTCTGCCTATGCTCAGTCAGCTCACTCGAAAGGACGCAAACTGCATCTGAAAACACCCCAAAGAATAACCCCATTTTAAAAGCCCACTCCCTGTGCAGTAACAAAATACAACTTTCCATTTATTTTGGAAGCTGAGAATAATATTCCAATTTCAGAAGAAAAGTTTAAGTCATTTTTTCCTTTCAAAGTCTTCAGATCACATAGGACATTTTTAAAGCCAAACAAGCTTTTAAATACTCCTTTAAAGTTAAACCCTTGTAATTCAGTCCCAGGAATCATGCAGACACCGAGAACAACAGTAGCACATCCTGGGACCAGCAGAACTGTGAGCATTTCAGTGTTTTGGCCTTCCTGGGGGTTGCTTCAGCAAAGCATATTTATAAATGGAGTACAATTACCCTTTGTGCAGCACTTTACCTGTTGGCCAGCTTGGTTAGTTCCAACAGAAAGGCTCAGAAATCCCTCCACTTCAAAGGTCATGTATTCAAAAGGAAGAGCATTTTAAAAGTTGGCTTGCCTAGGCTCAGAAATGCTGCACGGTGATGTGAAATGGAGGAGTTAATAACAGAAACGGGATGGAGACTTTTGATGTCTTCCTTAATTCTCTTTAATTTCTGTATTGTTGTTACTCCAAATATAAACACATACTTTTCACTATTAGCACACTCCCTTTATTTCCCCAAAGGGCAACATCCTAAAAATATTCCTGGATTTAAATAATCTCGGTTAGGCTTAACCTGTTAATTATTGGTGTGTTTTCGGCGTGGTGGAAACAATGAAAGTGATCACTTCTTACATGAGGTACTCACTAGAACACAGCTTGCGGGGCTGTGTTTAACGCCTCGCCCTCCGAAGCGCCCGCCGTGGTGACCGCAAGTGGTAGTGCCCGGCCCCGCCGCGTTCCCCCGTTAGTGCAAGAAGGGAATAGGCAGCGAGACGGCGCGGGGCGGGCATCGGTTGTGCCGTGCGCGGGGACACCAACCGCGGCTGCCGGGGGGCGGCGAGGCCGGGGGAGCTCAGCCCAGGCCCGCAGGGGGGCTCTGTCCTACGCCCTCCGGTGCGGGGCACGCAGCTCCCGCCGCTCGCCCCGGGGTTTATCCCTGCGCGCCCGCCGTCGGGGGTGCTTTTAAGCGGGCGAGTGTCCAAGCGAGCCGCGGCCAGAGGCGCCTGGCTCCGCTGCTCCAGCACAACAGCCGGCCCTGGGGCCCCGAGCCCAAGGCGCGCCCCGCAACCCCGGGGCCGGCGGGGAGGGTCAGGTCGAGGGCTGCCGTCGGTGGAGCCCCGGTCCGAGCAGCGGAGCTCGGCAGAGCGGACGGCGGGCCCCGGCCAGGTGCCGGCGGTGCCTCCGCGGGGAAGCAGGACCAGAGGCCGTCCCCGACCACCGCCCGGGAGGAGTAAGCCGGACCCCCGCAGGGCTGGCGGTGTCGCCATCCCAGCCGCGGGCAGCGCTCAGCCCACGGGCGCAGCTCCGACAGCGGGACCGCGCCTCCCCCGGGGTCCTGCCTAGGAAAGAAAAGCTCACTAACCTGGGGCAGGGCTGGAGGCCGCTCCGCTGTGCCGCGGGCCCCGGAGGCTGCCGGCGAACACGGCTTCGGCTCGGAGGGCCGCGAGGCTCCGTTCTCTCCGCTCCGCCGGGGTACGGGAGGGCTCCGGCCAGGCGGCTCCTCTTCCCAGTCACGTTGCCATAATCTTCTCCCGCAGTTCGCCCGGGCTTTCAGGTTTTCCAGTCGCTCGCTCAGTGGCGGCAAGGAGGGAACCGACGGCAGCCCCCCGACCGCCTGATGGACGGGATGGGGCGGGCGGGAGGCTGGAATCCGCTAAGCCCAGGGCGGACGCTTCGCAAGGTCCCGGGCTGCCTGGCAGGGGACACCTGCCACCACCTCCTGTCCCAGCGGGGAGCGCAGCGAGGCCCCGCGGCCGGAGGATGCTCTCCGCGGCGGGTCCTGCCCCGCAGCCCCGCCGGCACTGGAGCGGCGGTGGGAGGAGGAGTGGAGGAGCCCGCGCCCCGGCGGTCCGCCTCCCGCCCCGGCCCCCTCCTCTCCCGCGCCCGCTCCTGCCGCCCGGCACAGCAGCGTGACTGACACGACTCGGGGTGGAGTTTGCTCCCCTCTGGGGGGACAGGGCAGGCGGAGGGCGGGGGGGGCTGCGATCCCGGGAGGGGTCTCGGCTCGTTGCCCCCTGCCGCCGTGCGGGAGCCACCTGCGGGACCCGCGCGGGGTTCTGCCTGCAAACGGAACTGCGGGCTGGGTGACCGCCTCGGTTACCGAGCCCCGCGGGCCCTTTGCGTAGAGAGAGGACTCTACACGACATGGCTCTCTAATGGGCTTTTCACGCACGGGGTGCCCTCCAGGGCAGGGCCAGTGGAGTCAGCGTCCACTGGGATTTGTCAGCCACCTTCTGCTGATACCCTCTGGTCTGATTTATTGTGTTAGAAGGTTTCAAGGTCACATTGAGATTCTGGTGGAACTAAATTAAACCCATGACTCATGACATTATATGCTTGGTCAAACATTCTTTTTCTGTCTTGTTGTAGCCCCTGTAACTAATAAGAAGAGATCAGTGAACCCTTGACAAATGATCTGAGAAAAAGGGTGAGGTATGAAAAGACATCCTGTGGAGAAACAAATTACAACCTATTTCCCCTAGTTTGGGAGCAGGGTGTTTGGGGAGCACTGCTGGGAGGTCACACACCTCCCAGGCTTGGTAGATCTTTTCAGAAGGCTGAAAATTGAGCAGAACTTTCATTTCTTCCATAGTAATTTAGGGGATGAAATACTGAAAACAGAATGTACAGTGAAACCTTACACTAGCATGAGGAAAAAACACTTAACTTACTAAGGACTTTGTGGTGTGACTTGAAGAGGAACGGGGGCTGTATGTTAGTAAAATGTGACTTTATAACTCCTAATATTAAAAAAGGAAAAGAGAAAGGAACTGCATTCTGGAGCTAAGCACTCTGGAAACACTGCTCCTTGCCTACTTCTATGTCACTGTGCCACTCCTTGCTTTGCTTTAATCCCTGTTCCAAAGAGAAATCATCACTTAAAGCTCTCAGTCCTGAATGTGGTGGCTACTGCTGCAGGCTGATAGTTTTGGAGGTGAATTAGGGATAATTTTGTGTGAATTAGGGATGGGCAAATGGAAAAACAAATGGTGACTTTGAATCAGAAATATGACAGTAATTCACACTTGTAGGCCAAGAATCTGAGCTGTGCAAGCTCTGGTCCTGCACAGGTATATCCATGCTCATGGAGGGAAGATGTAAGCGTGTACACCCATGCTTCTAAGTTGTGGGGTTGTAGTAGTGTTGTTCCATTAGATGTACTGGGTTAGATTGGGCAGGCTCAGCCTGTGAGATAAACTGTATGTGAATAACATCTGCACCCGGGTCTGCGACTGAGCCACCCCTACTGCATTCTGCAGAGCTAGACCCAAACCCAGTTAGAGTCTTCCCACTGACATGGGCACAGGATGGAGGGGCTTCCCTTGGAGATGCCTTTGGCTACCTGGGAGCCCACAGGCTATGGGAGTAGTAGTAAATCCTGTCTCAGGAACTGAGTTCAGACACCAGCAGGAAATGTAGAAGCAAAGGGTGTGACGCCAAAGGTAAATGAAGTAAAATGAAAATAGGGATCATACTGTGAAAGGAAAGGAGTTTGGTACTGAAAGAGTCCAGAAAGATGCAGTAGATTGTGTACATCCCTTGATAGCTCTAAATTTCAGTGAGACTGTCTCATCAGGGATGCTTCCTGGATTTAGTGCAGCAACAAGTGAAGCTCTGCACTTCTGCGGTCCTTACAGGAGGCTGAGGTTCTGCTGATGAGTCTGTACGTGGTAGTTTTACTTCCAATTCAAAAATCAATCCATTCCCTACATGTTGGAGGTAAATTGACATGGCACCAGATTTCAGAGGAGTTAATGAGATATTAAAACGCCCTTAGTAATGTCATTTAAATGACATTTCTCTATAGAGAAAGGGAATTGCACAGGGGTCCAAATTCCAGTCAAATGGTTTGATTTCCTAAATTCCTGTGTTACTGCAGTTGGATGAAGGCTGGGTCGCCTATCTGTGATGGTTTTCTTCTGTTGGTGATGTCAGTGATTAGAAGCTTTGTCTTTATTGTCTTTATGGATAACGGTGGCCAAAGTGATCATACATATGTGTCTTTCTCAGAAGCATCCTGGGGACTGTGAGTATCTGTTTGCTTCAGTGTTACTCAAAACCAAAGACACAATTTGCAACTCATATTAGAAAAGATTTTGCAGATCTCTGTGAGCAGGAATCCATGGCTTCTTGTGGGCAAGCTTGACAGTTTGGTTTTATAGCATCCACATCACTTTGGTGCTGCTTTGGGCCTGGCAGAGCTCAGGTTTACTGTGTTGACATCCTCAGGAGCAGCTTACCCAACAGAGCTGCCCACCTCTGTCAGACTGCCTCTAGACAGCACTCACCACATGTTTCCTTCTCTGGGCTGATACGTAGACCAGTGTGTGTAGATAAAGCCAACAGTAATCGTTGCAGTGATCTTTATGCATAGTCAGTGGAGTAGTAATGAGAAGTGAAATATTTTCTATAGACTCTGTGACCTGAATTCTTTTGCAGAGAGATTCCTTGAAAATAAATTCCTTATTTGGCCTGAAGAGTGCCTTGGGAAAGTTGCTGTAGATGCCAGCACTTCCCACTGTGTTCTGTGAGACTGTTTCAGAAGATGATGGTGTCTGACAGTCTAATTCAGGTGTAAGACCTTTGCTGAACATAGAGATATACGAAAGGGAGCTCTTTTCTCACTCTGGCATACTTAGATTGTAGAGAATTGGCTCAAAGATCCTTTCTTTCAGGTGAGGGCTTGGGACCACAGCCCACTGTGCTTTGCTTTTGTCTCACTATTAATACAGCCCCGTATAAGGGAGTCTGTCTTGTTCCCCTTAGACCACAGCACTGGTGTGATTTAGCAAACACACTGCTAAGCCCTGTCAGTGCTAGGCTGTTACTGCAGCTTGTGAACTTCAGGGCTGCCACACACGTGGGACACAGAGAGCTCCAGAGAAGCATCAGATACGTAGCTGTTACCTTTCGTGCTGCCAAGCAGAGCTCACTGCTTGAATATGCTCTGCATCCTCAAGTCTGGAGAGGAAAGAACTGCTCCCCATAGGGAGCATTAGAGATTCAAGGATTTCCTAAGCTTTCAAGAGCACAGAGATTTAGCCATGTAATTCTCACAAAAGATAGTAGAAAATAACCTGTGACACTGACAGTAGGAGTCCATCTCCTTGAGCTGTGCCTCACAGTGACTGAGCAGTACGTAGGTATCCTGCTATTTTTTTCATTTGTGAGGGAAAAAACAGGATAAAAGGTTCGTGCCAATCCTGACATGTTTATGCACCATGTGGAGTTTCCTTAATTGGAACAGACATTGAGCTCTGAGAGATGTGAGACACATGATACAGCTTCCATTTACCTCCCTGTCTTTTTTCCTTTGCTTTCAAGAAAAAAATATTACCTATGGTCAAATCTTCACTCCTGAAAAAGTATGAAAGGAAATTCTTAAACTAATGAAATCCTTTGTTTTTTGCTCGCTATAAATTCCGTGGATCCTCTTGGAAAATGTGTCTTAAGAGTCTAAAAATTATTCCCAGGATTTTATAAAAAAGAAATCTAAATTACTTTTTGTGGTTTGGATCAGCCCTCCAACTATCGTATTGGGAATAGGGGCTGGATGCTCATCAAGCAGTCTTCACTTGTACTCTTAAACTAAAAGGGCTTCAGATGTGCATGATTTTGTGATTATGGCATAGGATGGTCATGAGCATTCTCCACCCTCCTGTTCATGCTGTAGCACTGACTTCATTCGCGGTGGGGTTTCAGTCCTCTTGTACTAGAAATGAATTTGCTCATTGAGCAGTGAGGCAGATGGATGTGGGGAATCCGAGATTCAGTGCAGTTTGCAAAATAGCAACAACAACATTACATAAAGTGTCTGTTTGCAGCCCGGTTCCTCATTACCTTGATGTGGACATACTCAGCTGAGACTGAACAGTAGCTGAAACCTGTCATTTGTCAAGAAAGGCAAATAAAATCTATGTTGCTAAATTTCACTTCCAAATGCACAGGTGAGAAGAAAGTCCTGAGAGTTGCCAGTGGCAAACATGAAAATGCAGAAGGGAACTACTCTTTTTCATCCTGTCCTAGAGCAAACGATGCTTTGCTAGGTGAGGTGTTGGGAATACCATGTACAGGTATAGATGTACATGCACTCAGAGGTGAGGTCCTCCTGAACTCTGCATTGGTTTCAAAGTGCTCATCTGCAGCAGTTTCTATCCTATCCTATCTAATCCAATCCCATCCATTCCAGATATTTATAAGATACTACAGTGTGTGTGCAGCTGTAATTGTGATACTATAATTCTCTTTCATACCTCTAATGTCAAAGAAAGTCTGCAAGACAGTTTGTAGGAATACAGATGTTTTAGTGGTTTTATGAGCTGCATGAGCTTCACCATGGCGTGTCAACACACCAGTACTGAGTGGTTTACTGAGAGGGAAAGAGCAGTGAAGTATCATTACCAAGATACGTGCAAGCAGTTATTATTCAGACTCTCAAAAGAATCCAAGGAATGCACACAAACTACAATGAAATTATGACAGTGCTGATCTTTGTGACATTCCCAGGAAGTTTTCCCATCTCTGCTATCTTTCCTTGTACTTTCTTATCCAGACAGTTGAATTTTCCAATTGGGAAGTTCTTGACCAGGTACATCTTACTGTCAGTGGTACACTGTAATCTTGGACAGAAACTCCTGATTTCTGATTTATCCCCTTTGTGTGTCAATCCATCTAACTTATGTTTTCTAAAAATGCAATTATTTAGCTATGGCAGATTTGGCTTTTTGTCTTTTTCCAGTATTAATAGTAGTGATGAATTTCTTTTGCATTATTTAATCTTGTATTGAAATGCAGTGGGTGTTGGAGGCACACTGTCAATAAAGTAGGTGAAAATAGAGCTCTAAATCCTGAGTTGGTGTCACATATTTGAGGAAGCTGAAAGGGGCCTTTT